TTCATCAAAAAATTCGTCCCGGAAGCACCTCAAATGAAAGAGGCCTAAGAATTTCAATTCTTAGGCCTACCTTACTTGAACATTTTCCATATATATATATATATATATATATATATATATATACATATATATATATATATATATAAAGTTACAATAGCTACTTTTAGTAAATCATATACTAACAAAGTTTTCCTCTAGGTAATTTTCCTTTGGCAAGTGTCATTATATAATGACAACAAACCATTCCCCATCATCAAATATAAACTACTCCGTATGAAAAATAGGATAAAGATGACCAAAGATAGTTTGAAAGCTCTTTTGTGTATATTGTTTAATTTAACATAAATTACCATGTTTTCATTTTGTCATATTACTTACTCCATATTTGGTAGCCTTCATAACTTCATATTTTTCGAATAACTTCATATATACGGAGTAGATATTTTTGCATAACTTCATATCTGTATGAGCAGGTTCAGGAACACTCTTGTGGCCCTTGCCTTTATGGCCCAAGTTGTCCGGCTTTGGTCAATCACAGGAATCATGGACCAGATACCAACCATATTGAACTATTGAAGGAAATATATTTCTTGTTTTGCTACGGGAGCTTGATGTGCGAATGGGTGTGTGAAGTCTGATGCAGGACTGCTGCTTTTATAGTTAAACGTAGCAATGCTAATTGGCAATGCTAATTGCTGGGAATGGCGTGTCAAATTGGATCTACAGTGTTCACCACCCTTTATGACCAATAGAAACAATTTATGGTAAACAGTGTTTCTACATCAATCATTGATTTTCTGTCAAGAGTGATCACCCCTCCTTTGGACCAATACCAATATTGTAAATACATTTCACCTCTGCCCACCTCTTTCTGGACCAATAGGAAAGGCCTAAACTCAATCCTTTGTGTCTTGACCGAGCAATGTATTTGCACATTACTTTTTGTTTTTGTATTAATTTTGACTAATAAATAAATAAATAAGGATTGAAGTTGACGTATATAGGCGGGAACACTGTTCCTTGAAATCTTTTGCTTTTAGATAAAGGTAGATATTCACTTCCATTTTTTAAAAGGAAAAATTGGTAGTAATAATCTCAACTATTGGCGGTCTGCCCATAATAATCCCAAGTATCGATTATTTCAGAATAATCCCAATTTTAGGGACCTTCCGCTAATAACGGTCCCTATAAATAAATTCTTGTAATTTTTAAAGTGGACGAGAAGAGATATAGCAAGTAATCCTTATAAATAATCCTAACTTTTAATTTTTACGCTTAATTTCTATTTAAAAATCACTTGTTGTAGGAGGTAATATCTGGCCATGGACCATTATTGGCGGACGGTCCATATAGTTGATATTATACAAAAATAATCAATAGTTGGGATTATTGTCGGCGGACCGGCAATAGTTGGGATTATTATTTTCAATTTTTCCTTTTTAAAACATGATCATTAATACCCCTCAGTACTTTATTAATAGTCTCTTATTCCATTTTGATATGTTTCTTTTTATTTGTCTTCCTTTCTATTTAAGAAAAGCTTTTAATAAAATACCCTTATTTTTATTATTTTTACCTCACTTACTTTTTACAAACTGTTTTCTCCTTCTTACTTTATCATCATTTTACTCTACTTAATACATTCTATTTTCTACTTTATCATCACTTTACTCTTTTTGATATACTCTCTTTTCCTACTTTACCATTTACCCTACACACTCTATAGTCTATACTTAACCTACTACTTTATAATTAAAACTCGTGTTCAAGGTTACAGGGACTATTAATAAAGAACGGAGGAAGTACTATCTATTTCATTTCTTTTAATAAAAAATAAAAAATTCATATTGTGTGTGAGTGTGAGTGTGAGTGTGAGTGTGAGTGTGAGAGTGAGAGTGTGTGTATGTGAGTGTGTGTGTGTGTGAGAGTGTGTGTGTAAGTGTGTGTGTGTGCGCGCGTGCGTGCGTGTGTGTGCCGATGATTTTTATTTATAAAAAGTAGCAAAGATAGGTATAAACCTAAATAAACAACAAAGGCAATAATAACAACACCATGCAACAATAGAAAACACGATGCACCAATAGGCAATAAGTTACAACAAAAGGCAACATGATGCAACAAAAAATGACAACCACAATACAACAAAAAGAAACAAAAAAACAACATATTAATTTTTCCTTTTATGCTTTTTAAAAATGTCACAATAGTTGTATAATACAATATCTTAACTCGATTTAATACATTTATCTACTATGTACTCCGTATTAGATTATTTGGCTTTGATGCTTCACACTCATTCTTCCTTTTATGCTTTTTAACACACAATCCATCAGGTTTGTATCTTTATCTTCATTTCCTTGTTGATCTTCTTAGCCTTACTATCACTTCAATGTACTTTTATTATGCACCTGCAATTAGAATGGAATCAATTACACAAAATGGTCCCTGTTAATCAGCCAGTACCAAGTAAGTTTCCAACCTAGATCATCAATCAAAGGCCAGGCCCTGGCAGACTTCCTAGTCGGATGTACTGCCCGGGACTTGGCTGAAGAAAAGAGACATGAAGAAGAATATTGGTGGACCCTCATGACTGATGGATCATCATCAGGGTCCAAAGGTTGCGGAGGAGGGGTGGTCCTCATCACCCCTGAAGGCTTCAAGACGTACCATGCCCTCAGATACAAATTTAACCTTTCTAAAAATGAAGCTGAGTACGAGGCCCTACTGTCAGGCCTCAAGATAGCAATCCACTTCAAGGCACAGAAGCTGAGGGTCAAAAGCGACTCTAAGTTGGTTATCAAACAACTTAGAGGGGAATACGAGGCCAAAGAAGAACGAATGCAGAAATACAGGGATGCAGCCCTGGAACTCATCAAGTGTTTTGAGGAGTCAGATCTGATATGTGTTCCTCGAGCCCAGAATAGTGAGGCACCAAAGACCTTGAGGTTTTCTCAGCCGAACAGAAACAAAGGTCCTGGGTCGAAGAATTGATAAAATACAAGAAGGACGGAACATTGCCTTCCAATGAGGGAAAGACAAAGCTAATTAGAAGATGGGCTCCGAATTATGTCATTGAGAATGGCAAACTATACAAAAGGAGTTACAATGGCGTGCCACTCAAATGTTTAAGGCCAGAACAATCTCAACAAGTGATCAATGAACTACATGAAGGAACTTGTTCATCCCACCAAGGTGTGTTCACCTCAAGTAGGAAAGCCCTATTGCAAGGATATTTTTGACCTACGATGATAAGGGACTGCGTGGACTTTGCGCGAAGATGTGAGGTCTGCAATAAATTTCAAACGAACCCAGGCAGGCCTGCCACCCCATATCATCCTCTCAGCACAGCGATCCCCTTCTCAAGGTGGGGAATAGACCTCGTTGGGCCCTTTCCCCCAGGCTCAGGAAGTAGGAAATTTGTGATAGTCGCAATTGACTATTTCACGAAATGGATCGAGGCCGAACCAATGGCCACAATCACTGTGGAGCAATGCAAGAGATTTGTCTGGAGAAATATATTTTGCCAATTTGGTGTTCCCATGCAAGTTATCACAGATAATGGAAAATAGTTTGACTCCGAGCCATTCAAGGATTTCTGCGCACAATGGGGAGTTGAGGCCAGCAGAGCATCTGTTGCTTACCCCCAATGCAATGGACAAGTGGAAAACGCTAATAGAACTATTGTTAGCGGCCTCAAAAGGAAGTTGGAGTCAATGGGAACAACTTGGGTGAATGAACTCAACAATGTACTTTGGGCATACCGAACTACCCCAAGGAAGGCTATTGGTGAGACTCCCTTCGCCTTTACTTATGGGTTTGAAGCCCGAGCACCACTGGAGGCTCTAGTCCCAAGTAGAAGGGTTGAACATTATGATCCTAGAAATAACGAGGACATGCTCAGGGCAGAACTACACCTGATTGAGGAAAGAAGGAACAATGCGTTCATCAGAGCTGAAAACTACATAAGGCAAGTTAAAAAATACCACGACGCAAGGGTTAGACCAAGGCTATTTCAGGTCGGGGACCTAGTTCTAAGAAGGAGGTCTGCTAGCAAACCTTTGGAGAGCAGAAAGTTTGCCAAAAATTGGGAAGGGCCCTACAAAATCAAAGGAATCATAGGACCTGAGACTTACAAGCTAAGCACTCCTAAAGGGAAGCTGATAGAGAGAGTGTGGAATTCCGAGCACTTGATGAAATTCTACCAGTAGGTTTGTAATCCTAATTTGAAGAATTATTCAATAAAAGTTTGTTTTCTTTCACAAAGTCCTTGTAAAATTGCGAAGGTTTTTTAACCACAAAAAAAACTAAGGCTACTACGCCTAATTTTGGTACTCGCAAAAGTCAAAGTACAAATTCCAGACTCATCCAAATTCCGCAGATCAACTTTGTCTTGTCAAAAGACGAGAGCGGGAATACAAGATCTTTTTCAAGATCAAACAGCCTTATAAACAAAATCAAATTTCCTCAAAACAGAAAAAGATGGCCTTTCTCAAGGCCAAGACTGATTTACAAAGGCTAAGGATGAACTAAGGGAATTAACTTTGCACCAGAGAGGCCACCAGGCCTCGCCAATTAAAGAGGTTCATTACAAGGCTTAATTGACCTAGAGTATTACAAGGCTTAATTGACCTAGAGTAAAGAACCCACCCTACTTCGGTTCAGAAAATAAGAACTTAGGATTAAATTTGGTAAAGCTCTCCGATGCGGTTCAAAAATTGAGAACCCAAGGAAAGCGACCCTGACCGGGAAATCAGGGTTAAAACTATGAGGACAAAGTGATAGGAAACAGACTTATTTATTTGGCAATCGAAGTCAGACCTTGAGGTCAAAGCAGGGCTCCCAAGTCGTGTGGATACAGGAATAAAGTATGGATTCCCAGACAATCAAACAAGGTGGAGTCCAGCCTCAAAACTCAGGGCTAAGTGATTCCAATCAAGCTTAGAGAAGGCTACACTTTTTATGATTTTATTATGAATTAAAACATTTCATAGCAGATTGGTAAAAAATAACAATTTCCGCTTTTCCATCATCCCAGCCGGCTAAGGCCTCTTATCACTCTCCCGTCGTGGATACTTTTGCTTCATCGACAGTTTTCATCCGCCTGAATAGAGACAGAGTAATAGCATATGATTCCGTAGAACGAAAATGTCTTGCTTATTGCCTCAATTCAAGTGCTCGCCAGACACTTTTTCCGTCAAAAAATTCCACCTTAAATCCGGCATCCATACAGGTCATTGCCTACTCTCTTCCTCCGTCGAGTATAGGCTCACGAGTTAGGAACTAACAAGCCAGTTACCAGTTGTCCGTTTGGAATGCAAACATTAATTTATTGGGCATGTGTCTCGTTTAGTCGGGTTATGAAATGGGATCAAGCTCAGTTAATACAGTGAATTGGAATGTTCTCTGCAAGGCTGCAAGTTGTGAATTTCCCCTTCTCAGTTGCTCTGATCCTTCAAATTGGATATTGATTTCATTGGTTATTCATAAATCTAGCTGTGGTTTTCTCGATTCTGTGAGATATCATTATTTCTATAGTAGTGCATAATCTTAGGTGCATGAAAACTACATTGAGCTGATGCCTGATGGTTTTCCATCCAGTAGTTCGTTAATGGATACTTACACTTTATAACTCTAAGATTTACTCAGTGTAACTGTGCCTTCATTATCATTTATCAAGTAGTAGACAACCAGTTTGCCTTTTACCTAGAATGGGGATGTAGTACTAGATACTTTATAGTGAGGTAATTGAGGTTTCTATATGCTAGAAGTTTTCTATTACCGTTCTTTAGAAGCTGCTTTATAAATCTGCTTATTTGGTGCTTGTTGAGTTGCAGCTAATGATAGGCACCCTCTTTATTTTTGGACTCGATGTGTGCTATCTACCGCATCTCCACCGCCATCAACAGAAACCACAGTTGTACTCAATATGGATAAGTCAGAGTTGCTTTCCTTAGATCTTTCCCCAGATTCTATTGCTGCAGATGGATCATGGAAACCTCTAACACCTGCAGTGACTACTGCTGTTCTTGGCATGGAGAAGTTAAAACTGCCTTCTTTTGAGGATTATTCAAATTCAGTTGCTTCAGATGGACTGTGGACATATACAACTGCAGGTGGTCCACCCACAGAGGTCAGTCATTCAATATACATATTGTACTCAACTATAGATGCATAATCTGTATGTTAGAGGATTCCAGACAGATCTGGAGAAAAAGGCATGAAATGAAAATGAATTATCAAAACTTAAACTTTGCCCTTCTTAGAACTTTTTAAAATCACTTGCCTTATGGTGCGATTATTTTAATTCATTTAGTGTCTTACTAAGTAGATAAATAATTGTTCTGGATTATATTATCTACCTAGATAATAATATAGCCTGTTACATCCATCATATGATATTTCTTGGCTTCATCATGCAATATATTATCTTTGTAGATAATAAACTATTTAATTAATAACGTACCCAGGCAACAAAGTCTATTTTTCATGCGGAAGCTCTACTTGCTAGTGAAGAAGCTGTAATAGCCGCTGCCGCTGCTGAAGCAGTTACATTAGCAAAAGCTGCACTGAAGGTAGCAAAAGAAGTAGCCTTGTTGGTTAGGAGTTCTAATTCTTCCAGGTCTGCCGATAAACATGTAGGTGCAGCAGATACTACTGTCTTTAATAGATCTGAAGTGGTCCAACCTGGTGAAAAGAGGGGAGATTTAAAGGAAAATGGACTAAGGTGGAGTGAGAGTGATATCTATGATTACAACACCATGAAATCTAAGCCAACACATGAAGAGCTGGAACTATGCCAAGTACAGTTCTCAAATAGTATAACTGTCAAATCCAACCGCCAAAAAGAACGCAAGTCTAGAAGAGATAAAGCAGCAGAAAGGGCTGCAGCTAATATTATGTCTGTAAAGTCCGAATCCACCAGTAGAAAAAAGCGTGCACCTGTAAAAGCTATAGATTATTCTGATCCATTGCGATACTTTAGGGGAAGCACCAATAGTTGTAAACTACTTACGTCTGCTGAAGAGCAGCTGCTGTCAGAAGGAATTCAGGTGCTCTTAATTTTCTGTTGAAAATTTTATAAAATCAGTGTTCGTAGCCTAATGGTCCTTTGAATATCCTCTCTTTTCATTGAAATTGTCTTATTGCTAATTGCTAAAAGGATTGCAGTTGGTGTAGTATGAGCTTATTTTCCTTGATGACTGATGTTTGCCACAATGCCACATTATTTTTTTGCCTTCCGTGAACTAATAACGGCTTATACAATGATAAAGCTACACACTTTTAGTTGCGTATAACTGCTAATATAATGATGAAACTACACACTTTTTTGAATTTGGAACTTTAGTTCAAGTGTATCACTTATGCAGTTCCTCTTCCTATCTCAGAACTTTTTGCTACAGCCTACAGCTTGATATCTGCTAAAGAAGTGAAGCAGTAGATTTAATTTTAATTCCATAGTTTGCAGCATCAATAGTTTGTTGGCTTTACTAATTGGTATGCAGGTTAGGATTAGTTTTACTTTATTCATTAGTATTGGTTGTTTATTTTATATTTGCTATTGTATTGACCTGGCACTCCTTATTCTTTCTTTCTATAAAAGGAAGAACCAAAAGTTTAGGGAGTTGTGTTAGGCAGAAAGTTCAACCTAAAAGATTTGGGAGTTTCGAGATCTCAATTCTCAAGCAAACCCAGACTTAGGGAGTTCAGGATCTCAACAAAATCCCAACCCAACCATAATCTCATAGACCTTTCTTTCATCCCATTCACAAATAAGATTGTGACTTTGATAGAGACTTTACGAATAGGAAGATAAGAGATAAATACTTCAATGAAGTGTATTCTAGAAATAGGGTTTGTTATTAGTCAAGACTGTTTGAGCTAATAACTAACCGGGTGTTGACCTGTCCTACTATAAATAGAATAAGCATTAGTAATTGTAGGGATATGCTGAATTTGATTTGTAAACTGTACGCAGTCTGTTGCCTTAGGCCTTCGGCCATTGTTGCCTTTGAGAATAAAAGTTGCCTTTGAGATAATTCTTGAACCAATTCTGTGATCTGTAAGACTAGAATTGCAAGTTTCTAACATTGGTATCAGAGAAAGTCCATCGCTGTTAAGGTCTTGACGCGCGCAAAGATGGAATCACGATTGGATAACTTGGAGAAGATTCATCAACAAAATGTGGGGTTGATGGCAGCGATTCTGGCCAGACTGGATGCGGAAGATCGATCTAAGAGAAGGTCGCACGCTTTGCGAAGATCGCAGGAGCCGCAGAAGAAATCGCGGACTGTTTCGCATCATAAATCTGCGAAACATCCGGAAAGCTCAGATGGTACAGACGACTCGCATCGAAGTTCGCACAGGCATCTTCCGATACCTGAAAAACAAGGCTCGTCGCCATCTCTAAAAAGCTCGCAGACTGAGTCGCGAACGAGGACTCCTAATTCGCAATCGCGGACGACTTTGCTCAGTTCGCAGGAATCGTCACTAAGCGAGCAGCGAACGGAAACAGCAGATCTCAGTCCGCAGTTATTCCCATCCGCGAACAACTCGCAGCAGAAGGCAAAACCAGTGAGAGAAGAATCTTTTGGTTCACAGATTTTATCGAAAGACTTTACTAACTCTGCGCAAGGTTTTCCCCAATCGACAAAGAAGACTGAATTGAATCCACCTGAATCTTTATGCAAGAAAACGAATAAGGAAGATGAAATAGAGGAACAATCTACAATTACCGGTGGACATGCAACTGGTTCAGTTGAAGGAAAAAGACGGGTTATACGATGGCCAAATTTTGTTTCTCCTAATCTAGCCACCGATATGGATTTTATTCCCAGCGGGGTTTCTAGTGTAGATCTACTGATCCACCCATGTTCAAGTGGTAATAGAGTCCTAATTGCTTCTGAAACTGGATTACTTAAAATCAAGAACATTGCAGAAGATAAAGCTGTTCTTGTCAAAAATCTATCAATTAAAATGTTTTCAGAACATTCATGCATTGATAGAAAGAGGAAAGACCCAGAGGTTCAGGAAGATCATGCTTATCCTTTCTATGGGGAATATGCTATCATCTCAGGAAACAACAAACCAATTCATGATGCTGGTTCTTTGCCTGCTGATATATCCAAAATAGTGCAAGGAAAGTGGGTAAAGTATGCAGGCTATGACATAAGATTTAATTACAGAAATGAGGAGTCATTGATACAAGTTGCAGGAGTACAAAAAGCAGAATGGCAGCCATTTGTTGACAGCATGATAAGATACATCAAGCTTGGCCTACATAATCCATGGAAAGCACTAGAAGGTTATCTAAAAGTGGGAGACATATATGCAAAGACAGATCTTAGCCTATCATTTCCTGATGTTTTTGACATCTTCACAAGGGTATTACAGAGAATGGTTCTTAAGAGTTACCAGCAAGCTTTAGGCGAAGTAGTTGTTGCACCAAAAATTTTAGAAAAATTCTATGGGAATCAGGCCCATGTTCTGGCAAGGTATTTTGGAGTGTCAGGAAATTATTTGGGACAGAACAGCCCTGGTTTTTGGTGGAGTTATGGTCTTTTGGCAATTGTTACTTCCTTTAAAGCTGCAGTGGAGCTTCCTGAGCTATTCAGTGTGAAGCTTAGATCTAAAGATAGGGTGAAGTCAGAAGCAAATGCTATGCTCAGGCTGGACAGGAGTATTTCATCTAGAGGACTAGAAGTATGGGAACGTATGATACCACCATCAACTAAGTACTGGGAAGGGAGAGGCACCAGGAGGAAGCTGAATACCAGACTTGATTCATATCTTCCAACTTGAGGGCAAGTTGGATTTTCAGGAGGGGAGATTTGATAGAGACTTTACGAATAGGAAGATAAGAGATAAATACTTCAATGAAGTGTATTCTAGAAATAGGGTTTGTTATTAGTCAAGACTGTTTGAGCTAATAACTAACCGGGTGTTGACCTGTCCTACTATAAATAGAATAAGCATTAGTAATTGTAGGGATATGCTGAATTTGATTTGTAAACTGTACGCAGTCTGTTGCCTTAGGCCTTCGGCCATTGTTGCCTTTGAGAATAAAAGTTGCCTTTGAGATAATTCTTGAACCAATTCTGTGATCTGTAAGACTAGAATTGCAAGTTTCTAACAGACTTACTGGGTCATGTTAGCTTCTTAGCAGTATCTGAAGAAGCAGTGCTGAGTCTAGAGTCACTTAGATTTAAAGTATTCTTGAAAAACTTTTTTGTTTGTCAGGTTTTGGCTATGTAATATGTCTTCTGAATCCATGAAACAGAATTTTTTTGATGTAATAAAACATTTCCCATGTGTACACGAAGTCATTATCGCAGCAGTATTCTTTATATATGCCCCTCTTTTCGTGCTTATAATCATAATAACTTGCATATTTCTTTTTACTTTTTTAAAATGACATCTGAATCGTCATAAAAGAAGTGAACAGGATCTACTAAAATTAGAGAGACAGGAGGAGGAGCTTAGAGAGCAGTGTGGTGGTCAGCCAACGTTTGCACAATGGGCTATTGCAGCCGGTGTTGATCAGAAAACCCTAAGAAAGCGATTAAACTATGGTATCCAATGCAAAGATAAAATGATCAGCAGCAACATAAAGCTTGTTATATCCATAGCAAAAAAATATCAAGGAGCTGGTTTGAGTATTCAGGATTTGGTTCAGGTATTAGGCTACCATTTGCTTTAACAAGGTTGCAAGTCCCAAAGGATATTAGTCATTGTTAAATAATATGTTGAACAAGTTTGGTGAAGATTCTTTGAATTTGTGTCACAGGAAGGATGTCAAGGACTAGTTAAAGGTGCAGAGAAGTTTGATGCTTCAAAGGGGTTCAGGTTCTCAACATATGCTTATTGGTGGATTAAGCAAGCAGTTAGAAAATGTCTATCAGAGCAGTCCCGGACAATTAGACTGCCAGTAAGTATTCTTCTACTGTGACCGAACTTTTAGTTTCTGGCGAGTAGCTGAAGCAGGGGGTAAACAAACAGTCATTTCGTAGGCCTTTTAAATGTCTTCCTTAGGTGCACATGATGGTAATAAAAGGAAAGAACAAGACCACTTAAGAAATGGCTAAGATAAGGATACAAATTCATAATTCTTTATGTGCAGATAAACATGGTTGCTGCAGCATATAAAGTGAAGGAGGCAAGGAAGCAATTGTACACAGTAAATGGTAGAGACCCTGATGATAAAGAAGTGGCAGAGGCAACAGGGATGTCAATGAAGAGGCTCAATGCTGTGATGCTAACTGCTAAAGCTCCAAGATCTCTTGATCAGAAAGTGGGAATCAATCTGGATCTCAAACCTTCGGTTTGACTCCCATCTTTTTCTCCCTGACTTTTTGCATGGATTTTTATGAATGTCCATAATCCTTATGGTCTATTTGAATCCAGGAAAGTACTAGAGAAATATAAGAGGAAGGAGAACATTAAGGATATACATATACATACATACATACATACATACATACATACATACATACATACATACATACATACATACATACATACATACATACATACATATAGGGTGAGATCACATACAAACTAGTTTTGCACTTCTCCCATGCTAACCTACAAACTGTCACAAACTGTGCATCTTTACAAACTGTGCATATTGACGTTCAAAGTGTTGCATATTATATTGTATTGCATATTGAAGTTCAAAGTGTTGCATATTATTTGTATTGTATATTGAAGTTTACTGAGTGCATCTTTACATTATTTGTACAGCATATTGAAGTTCAAAGTGTTGCATATTATTGAGTTTGTAGGTTAGTATTTTAAGCATGGTCTATATATAAACCATGCTTAAAATACTAACGTGCAAACTCAATAATATGCAACACTTTGAATTTCAATATGCAATACAAATAATGTAAAGATCCATACTGTGAACTTCGATATGCAATACAAATAATATGCAACACTTTGAACTTCAATATGCAATACAAATAATGTAAAGATGCATAGTTTGTGACAAATAGAGAGAGAGAGATCAGATCACAAAAATGCGGTGACGATTTTGTAAATAAACCAACGTTTTTTGTCACCGTGAAATATTGCAATAGAAACATGAAATAGTGCATCGCATTGAGCAAAAAGTGTATTCGTTCGCACATTGCACGGGAAGGTGTCTTTTTAACAGAGAAAATGATAATATGTGTTAACTCAACAAATTAGTTTATCTTTATTTGATACTTGAATTATAACCCTCCCATGGAATATAAGCTACTAATAAAGTTTTCCCCATAGCTTTTCAAGGACAAAATATATGGAGTGTTATTATTTGGTACTAATTATAATCTATATCTATGGTCCCGGAATGTTCTTCCCATAAAAGTTTCTTCTCATCACTTTCCAAAGGAAGAATTGTGTGGTTTATGTCGATTATTCATTTTTAAATAAACCTTAATAACATTGTCGAATGGTGTAAAGACACAGAAATGTAAGTTTGTTTAAATATACATATGCATGTATCTACGTACATACATACATATATATGTGTGTACGAACATTAAAATTTGTCTAAACTCAACAAATTTTTTTTATTTGTTATTTGTTACGTAGTTTTCCTTCGCATTTTCACGGTAAAACTGTGCATAAGAAAATATCTTACCATTACTTTGTTTTTTCCTTTTTGTGATCCAAATATAACCCTAAAGTTTCCAGTGTAATTTCATGTTCATGTGCCTTCTTTCTTTCTTAGGAAGTGATTGCAGATCCTGAAGCTGAAACAACTGAAGAGTTACTGATGAAGCAGTTTATGAGACGAGATCTGGAGAAGGTATTGGATACTTTATTAAATCCAAGGGAAAAGCAAGTCCTTAGATGGCGCTTTGGACTAGAGGATGGAAGGATGAAGCCTTTGCAAGAGATTGGGGAGTTGATGAACGTAAGTCGGGAGAGAATCCGTCAAATTGAGTCACGTGCATTCCGCAAGTTGAAAAGCAAGAAAGAAACCGAACATCTGCTAAACTACTTAACCGCTTAAAGTTTCATACACCAAGAGTCTATAGGTTTCTAGCTTGTGCTGCCTACAACCAAATAGCCATAATTATTGCATTAGTTTGGTTAAAGTCGTCTGCATTTAGATTCTTCTTAAATGAATCCTTTTCTCGCTAGCCCCCTTTTTGCAGCAAAACTGTAACATTGCAGCAAAACTGTAACATAGTACTGCAAATGGTTTCTGCATATTCTGTAAATGTTCCACCCATTGTTCTACCAATTGTATGTGTGATTCTATTTGCAGCTACACATTTGTACATTTCATAAAAACTCACTTGAGCTTGTTAATTCCTGACAAATGTTTAGCACCCATCCCACATCATTATTTTAAGAAAATTGTGTGGCTCAAATTTTTCTCTCATCTACATAAGTTCCAAAGAAATTACCTTAAAAATACGAATGAATTATAAGTGTTTTCTCTAAATATGAGTGGTATTTTAATTCTCTAAATAAGACTGCATAGTACATGAATTGCCTAATTACACTTACTTATATAATTCAAATATAATCATCATCATTTTCATTTATCCTTGTGCCGCAAAGGCTGTAAGGGGGGTCGGATGTATGCAGTCATACCCCTATACTAAAGCACAAAGAGACTGTTTCCGAATGACCCATAGTGAAAATCACGTCCAAAATTGCATGGACTAACTGTTGCTTCATAACAAAGAAGCGCAGATAGTTTAGTGAGTCATTTTGCTTAATCACATCATATGCTCAAGCTAAAAAATAATTCAAATATAATAATTACATAAAATAAATTGCACCCACCTATCATCACAAGTCACAACAAGCCACTGATCATTCATGGTGGAATTGGTCCTTGATCGTCAGAATTGAATAGTACAATGTGATCTTAGCGTGGTAATATTTGGTCGGGGTGGTTGTAGACTTGTGGTCCACGGTGAAGTATTAGGATGGAATTATGGTTTCATTTTGCAGTGTGATATCAAGTTGACAATAGTTGATGTACAATCATTGAAATCTAGGGTGATAGTAGTCTCATGTCAATCGATGACCTGAAAATTATATTAGATCGTGCAAGTGTGCAACTAGACTTTTGGATATTGAAAAATATTTAACCGCTAAAATATTACATAAAAAAATCATTACATCAATGATTAAAATATTTTTGTATTGTACTTTCAAAACTTTGGGTGTTCACATGAACACTCATGAACCAAGTAGATCTGTGACTGCCTTAAAGATAAATGCATTATCAATACGAGACATGAAAGATGAAATGTGTTGGTATAGAGTCTGAATTTCTTTGCAAATTTTTTGTAAACTTTTCTCTACAAAGTTTATTGGTTTAATAAATTCAAATGATATTTAAAATTTTAATATAAACAAATAAAATAATTCATGATACCTTAGGTCTCACGTGGATAATTCAATCATTCAGACCATATATATATCGACGCATTTCATCTTTGAAGTCTCGGATTAATAGCTCGTCTATCTTTCATTTTTCTTTATTGATAAAATTCCCACAATGATGCATATAATTAAGTTAGTCATTAAATATAAGCAAATATAAGTAAGTTAATCTTTAAGAAATGGCAAAAAGAATATATTACACATACTCGTATGGCATGCAACAATGACTATTTCTAGATGTTTACACATGATTTATTCCTGCCAACTCTACATTCCAAGATGATGAATCTCATTATTTTGTTTAAAATTTCTTTTATTGTCTCTTGTCACTTATTGTCATTTATTGTCATTTAGGGCGGTTTCTGACGAAATTTTTTGACGATTTTTTAAGCATCTTACTCATTAAGTTTAGTTTACTCGTACCAAATTTCAACTAAAATTTCAATCTGGAAAGCATTCAAATGAATTCTTGAAGATAACTACGTAGTTTACTCTCCATGGTCGCACTTCACTTTACCCAATACAAGGAAGATGGAGAAAAATTATATCTGCTCCAACTATATTAACGTAACTCTGGTTTGGACTTTGGACGGAAATACAAGTCCGTCTCATTTATTCTAATTCTGGCGCATGGATGACAGGTTCAGATTATTCATGTAAAAAGTTGATGTAGGGATTATTTTGGATTAATTGGTGAATGTAGGGATTAATCTTGTCAATTTTCCTTACACAAGCCTTGCTGAAGTTAGTTTGTAGGACGAATAGTGAATAGTGTAGGTGTAATATATCTACTACCCTATTAATATTACATCAAAAATGGTACAGCTTTTAAAGACCAAGTTTCTTTGGTCTGAGGTAAGTGCCTTTCTTCAAGCCAGGCATTGAAATTTGTTGTTGTTGCATCGCCCTCTTCTCCCTCTCTTTTTCTTTCTTTCTTCTCTCATTCTCCACTTGCACATTCCTCAGATTTTCTAGTTCTTCCTCCATGGCTGTTTTCTCTTCCTTTTGTTTCTTTTTGTGTTCTAACATGGAAGTATCCGAGTCCTTAACAGAGAAAAACATGGGGCCCATCTCAGCTAACCACTGCGGTTCAACTGACGTAACACACTGCATATACTCCTTTGTCGTCAATATCAACTCATGATACACAACATAATCTGGCGTGTAACCCAACCCATAAAGTGCACTGGTGGGATGCAGGTGACATGGCATTCCATTCCTACAATTTACATATTCACCCACACCCTTAAGTCTAGCTGCATTGTGAAAATATGCAGAGCAGATTGCCTTTCTCACGATATCCCAGTCCGGGCCACATGAGGTGAGGGAGATTTTGAGCGTCGTGAGGATATCCAGTAGTTGAGATCTCACCTCCCTTGCCTTACGCAGGCCTTTGACATGTAAGAAATGATCGTTACACCAATCGCCCCTGTACTGATTTGCCTTCCATTGCTGGTACACATTTAGCAGTGTGAGATGATCGGATTCTGGCACAAAGAACTTCTCCCGGGCAGCATCACTCTCTTCTGCCCGATCCTTGGGTCTGAAAAAAACCGATGGTACTGAAAGCATTGCCACAATGGTGAGGACTTCGTTCAAGCACTCCAGTTGTTCTCCCATCAGAAGCATCTTAGCAAGAGGCGGGTCCAACGGGAACTCCACCATTTTCCAGCCAAGACCAGTTAGGTCACCGACGTTACTAAGCGCGCCCAATACCCACAGCTGGTACATGGAGTTAAGGATGTTTTCCTGAGGTGGTGGATCCATAAAATCAAAATCTAACAAATTTGAGATCTTGAGAGACTTTAGCAGTAATACGACATTTCCAAGGTTTGTCCTTTGGATTTCTGGTACAGGGCTTGGAAGCATCTCGTTCAAGTATGCACTCTCGGTATAGAGTCGGTAGCAAGTTCCAGGCCCGGTTCTACCAGCCCGTCCTGCTCGCTGGTTTGCCGCTGCTTGACTGACTGGAAACACTTGAAGGGCATCCATACCCATGCGCGGATTGTACACCTTCATCTTGGAGTAGCCGGTATCAATCACATAGAAAATTCCATCAACGGTTAATGATGTTTCGGCAATGTTTGTGGCGACAATGCATTTGCGTTCTCCTTCCCCGGCCTTCTGAAATATCTTAGCCTGCAAATCAGCAGGTAGTTGGGAGTAGATGGGAAGGATGAGTAGATTGGCTACAGCTTGTTTAGTTGAGGTCACTAACTGTTCCATTCGCTCTTGGAGTGCATAACATGTAGCTTCAATCTCATCTTGACCAGTCATGAATATGAGTATATCACCCGGAGCGCTAGTTATGTGAATGGTCATAGCCTGCTTTACTGCAGCCTCTACATAATCTTCACAAGGAGTTTTGCTGTACATATGTTGAACGGGGAATGTTCTACCCGGAATGTTGAAGATTGGTACACTGCAACATATCCATAAAATCATCCAACGTTGAGTATCTATGACAACACATCAACTAAAAGAACAACAACCCGCCAGACTTATATACTTAATGGACTTACCTTCCAAAAAAGTCGGAAAATTTCCGTGAATTCAGCGTGGCAGACGTCACAATAAGCTTAAAATCACGACGCCGAGAAACAACTTTTTTAAGTATGCCAAACAGCACATCAGTGTTTAATGATCTCTCATGTGCTTCGTCCATCACAACGACACTGGTAGGATCAGACAAATGTAAATAATAATAAAAAAAACAATGCTCCAAGTACCATAAAGTACATTTTGAAAAGAAAATAGAATTAAAGCAAAAACATTTTAATTTATACCTGTATTTTTCAAGATCAGAATCCTTAAGCGTCTCCCGTAGAAGCACACCATCTGTCATGTACTGCTCGGATGGACATGAAACAAATTGAGCACATACAACAAAATCATGGAACTTAAAAAGAGAAACAAATTGCCTGTCAAAGCAAGTTCAAAACATACTATCAGCTGAGAAACAATAATTATGTACGTGTAACAATTTACCTTGATAACAGTGTTTGGCCCAGTCACATCTTCAAAACGAATGGCATATCCTACTTTATCCCCAAGCGCAGTTTCCATTTCTTCACTAACTCTCTTTGCAACACTCATAGCTGCTACACGCCTAGGTTGGGTGCAACCAACTATCCCATTCTTTGTGTAGCCATCTTCATGTAGGTACTGCAAACATTCATCAGTCGTCACATACGGAACAAGAAGAAAATATGCCAAAATTTGATATCTCAAGCCACTGCTGTAAAAATCCCACATGGCCCCAATTAATGCCTCGCCTAGGCGATAACTGCTCCCTGGGGTCAAGGTGTTTATTTCCGGCTAGGCCATGCCAAATTTATTTATACCCCGTCTGACTCCTGTTAATTCCTGACTAAGCACTAAGTAAGCCCCAGCCTTGCAAATTTTGCAGCACTGTTTAAAATATACAGAATATCAAGTAAAAGAGAGAATTCTACAATTGTTCACAGAATACATCAAGATATTTTGCAAACCTGGGTCAATTGTGTAGTCTTCCCTGAACCAGTTTCTCCGACAACTACCACAATCTGATTTTCTCGAACAACCTAATCATAATAAAGGGTAAGTTGATATGATTATGGTTTGGACTTTGGAGCTTATGTGGCAGAGAACTGCAACTTATATGGCTGCTTTAGTTATGCCTCTGAATGCATATGATTAATGCAGAGTCTTAATGTAAACAGAAGTATAACGTCCTCACGGTCAAACACCAAAGTGAAACATGGGAAGATGTCCAAGGGAAAAATAACGGTGCCGTTAGATAATAAATCGAGGCAAGTGACAAAATGGGCACTTATATGTTGGGGCTTTATGAGCCTATGGTGCATGGCAGAAAGACAGGGGAAGAAAACTCTGGTGGATGACCTTGACAGTTTTTTTACCTTGACAGTTCTTTTTACCTTGACAGTTTTTATATTGGTGGAATAAAGCAAAATGACTCACTAAACTGTCTGCGCTTCTTTGTTATGAAGCAACAGTCAGTCCACACAATTTTCGAAGCAATTTTAACTACGGGTCATCCAGAAATAGTCGCTCTGTGCTTTAGTACAAGGGTAAGACTGCGTACATCCGACCCCCTTACCTCACCGTAGGTGGGAGCCTGTGCGGCACTGGGGTTATGATGATGATGATGATGACGATGACAGTATTTCTACTGGTTCATGTGTCTGATCCCATTGCTTTGGCTGATTGGCTCAAGTCTTCTAAAACTGAGATTTTCAACTATAATCTGATTTGAAGGTGATCAGATGGAAGTGAGAAAAAATCATCATCCTCCAAATTTATGTCAGTTCAAATAGAGATCACATTTAGCTTATAACTCACTTAAAGAAAAACATCTAAAATTGAGAACCCTTTACATTTTCTGGGTGAATGCATGACCTTCCAACTGATGACTTAATTAAATGTCCATTTGTTTATTCGGTTACGTGCATGCAAAAAGACAAGGATTTCTTGGACCCAATTATCTACAGATGCACTATATTAGGGATGAACAGCCATATAACAATCAAAAACTGCTTAGAAAGAAGATAAACTAATATAGATGAAAATCAAAATTCAAAAGAAAGTAGTGAAACCTGCATAAACTCGTCACGAACAGAAAATATGGGCAAATACTGCCTCTGCTGCAAGAGTGTTTTGGACTTCGCAAAGTCACTCACTGCTTCCCCTTTCTTTAGGTGCTGTGAAAACCTAGCTTCTTCCTTGAAATCAACCTCACCTTGTTCACCCACTGCAGCAGTATCTGCATCAATCTAGCATAATATTCAAACAAGATTTCAGGTACAGGACTCTGGCCCTCAGTTTTCTGAGGAACAAGTTAGATGGAACTCATGGAAGCGTTAAATGTTTTACAAATCACAATATACCTGTTCAGCTGTTTTTTCAACCCCTAAGATATCACCAAGTTTTGATCCAGCAAGTTCCCAAAACCGTTGACGAGATTTATGCATACTTTGTTTTTCATGTATTTCACGAACAAGAGCTGAGCCTTTCCTAGATATTATGGCCAAATCTGATGTAGGGTCCTTGATTGGCATTACTGGTTCAGCTTGTTTTGTGAAGACAATTCTTCCATCCAGAAAGGGGGGTTTTGTATCTGGGGCACGGATTAGAAACAACGCATAAGAAATACGACAAGTTAATTATCTTTCCAGAAACTATTGAGTTTTTTATAATGGATACTCAAAGGGTGTGAACGGGAGCCTTGACGCACTGGCTACGGTGTTGCTATGCAACCGAGAGGTCACGGGTTCAAATCTTGGGGGTGGCCTCTTGTCAAAGTGATGAGGAAAGGCTTGCCCCATATACACCTTTGTGGTGGAACCCTTCCCCAGACCCTCACCTTGCGGCGGAGATGCCAATGTTCAGTGGGCTGCCCTGTTTACTCAAGGTGTGTGAGGGATGCATACCATGGACTAGGAGGATAACCTTCCTTTCATCCTCATCATCAAATTCTGTTTGCACCTCAGTGCCTTTAACAGCTCCTGATCTCAGAAGCTGACGGTCTTCCCACTGTGCATTGTCTGCAGTTAGCTGTGATAGCTTCTTGCTCTGAGAAAGTGACATCTTTGTGCCATCCTTCCGAGTCTGTTTAGGAGTCCAATTGAGTGAAAGAAGTTAACAACAGAGCTGGCAATACCGACAACAGCGATAATCAATCTTTAATTTAAAATCAGCACGATCAGCTAGACAGTTAACCAAATCACATAATTAAAATCACTTCAAAAGGATAAGTTAAACCACACGAGTAGGATAAGTTAAACCACACGAGTAGGATAAAGTGTATCCTACAGAGGGTTGTAAAGAATCTAATGTAAGCGAATACTTGATATTATTATTCGTTTTTGTATATATAATCGAATATTCCTATTCGTTTATTGTTCGAATCTTATTTTCTATTCGTATTCGCTTTGTTTATTATATTCAAATATATTTGGTTTCTATTCGACTATTTGAGACTTTGAGTTTAAAAAGAATTAAATATCAAACTTTCCCAACATATATTTAATACAAATCAACAATGTACCCACAAGCCAATATCGGTGACTAAGTAAATACCATCACATTAAAAATGCAAAATATCTACTAATCTCAATGCATTACTACTATGCCACTAATATTATTACATTGTGTTATAGTTATTAACACAAGTACCAGATAGACGGATAGACAGATAGATAGATAAATCAAAAAACAATATTTGAATCCATATGTATTTTATTTGAATTTGAATCCATATTTTCGAATTTGAATCACCAATCACATTTACAACCCTAATCCTACACAATAACGTCTAAGCAAGGCCCCGTGAGATTCAAAAGATATACACGTCAAAAGTACATCCCAAATACATATCCTAATGCAAAAAGTAGACTGAATAATAGCAGCGACACAAATATATCTGGGAATATGCAATTACACTGATAGAATAATCAGCAGCCAAGACTGAGAATATTATGCGCCTTTGTATGAATATATGATTAATAATGCCAAATAACACTTACAAGTCTTTTAGCCAGCTCAGCCTCTTTCTTTTGAAAAGATGCTGCATCACCTAAAAACAGTGATGACCTATCCATGTCAAACACGCTGCTCCCTTCTTCTCTATCATACCTGTTAAAATGAAATCAATAATATTAAGAAGACCAAGAGATGAACATATAGCACTAATTTAGTTTCTTGTACATAGAAGGTAGTTTTGGTGATAAACTAATACCATGCACGATCAGAATTGTTGTCCATCTCCATACGCATACTTTCAGAGATCTCTTGATTGCTGTCTTCTGACCTGCTTACTTTGCCATCTCCTTCCTGGGGGAAACAAGGAGAAGAATATACAAATTATTCATCCGTAATCACATATACAATGACAAATTTTCATTTTTTATATTCTACCAGCACAAGGCATTCAGTAACATGTTAACAGGAAGTACTATGTCATCTTCATTTTATAATGTAATATCCACACCAAACCCAATTGCATCCTACATTAACTGGAAGTATTACTTACATAATTATTAAAATACATAAAAAAAACTTCTGAAATTAGTATTTAATATTTATAAGATTATTTTCAGTTTGTTTACCTAGTTTGGTCTAACAAATTATAAGATTATCATTAGTATTTAATATTTATATATACTTAACAATGTAAGATACATTTGGGTTTGGGGCGAGTTTTAAGAACATAAAGGATGAAGTGGTTGTTTTACAATTCTAAACTCTCAAAAATAAGAAGTAAGATGGCTCCACAAAAATTATAAGGTGAAATGATAGATAAACAGATAGGAGGGAAATAAAAAGTTAGTAGATTTGATTTTAGGAAGTCGTGCATATGTTTGGAACAACCCAAAAGGAAAGTGTATCCTACCCATGGTTAAAAGAAGGTTGCCAATTTGGTATTTAATAAATATGATATGAATATATTACATCATTAATAAATAAATATATATACATATATATATATATACATAGGTTTTGGTTCAAATAAGAACATGATCTTATGAGAGAAATGAGAACGAATCTGGACCGTTAGATTTGCTTTATGTGAAATTCAATGTGCATTAGATGAAAGTGTAATGTGTATTAGGTGAAATTGAAATGTGCAGCACAAAGGGTACGATGTAGTGCTATTATGTGAAGCTGAATTGTGCATTAAATGAATTTGAAATGTGCACTAAATGAAACTAAAATGTGCAGAATAAAAGGTACGGTGTGATGTTATTTTTGTAAATTTTATTCTGCACATTTCAGTTTCACCTAATGCACGTGTGAGTTTAAATTTTTATTCTGCACATTTCAATATCATCTAATGCACATTTCGGTTTCACCAAATGCACAATTCAGTTCCACATTATTCAATCCAACGGTCCAGATTCGTTCTCATTTCTCTCCTTAGATATGTTCTTACCGGAACCGCTCCCTATATACATATATATATATATATATATATATATATATATATATACACACAGAGTAATCTTCCGGTCAGGAATTTCCTGACCGGAGCGCCATCCGGCCTCCTCCATTTGGGGGCCTTCCCGGTGGTATTTTTTGCTCAAATTTTTTGTGTATGTTCCTCATCAAGTCTAGTTCATCCATACCAAATTTCAGCAAAAAATTCAATCGGGAAGGTCGTCAAATGATTTTTGCAAGTTAACCGGACCAGTTAACTTGCAAAAATCATTTGACGACCTTCCCGATTGAATTTTTTGCTGAAATTTGGTATGGATGAACTAGACTTGATGAGGAACATACACAAAAAATTTGAGCAAAAAATACCACCGGGAAGGCCCCCAAATGGAGGAGGCCGGACGGGGGTTCCTGTCCGGAAATTCCGGACAGGAATATTCCTGTATATATACATATATATATACATATATATATATATAAGAACTTCACATAATACCAAACCAGACCACCAGTTAATAATGCCAAATCAGTTCAAACCAGATCTAAATAGACAAGACCTAAACATGGTGAAACAGAGCCCAAATTGATTAAACCAGATTACATAAGGAGCTGTAATTTAACCATGGGGTCCATATGTGTGCAGAAAGCCAACCTTAGGTCTGCTAAGTATTCAAAGCCTACAGCAGAGATAGGTCTGCTAAGATGAATAATTTAACAGTTAACAAAGACATACCTCAGACAACACAGCAGTGTTAGTAGATTCAGAACCCCGATTGGATTTCCCACCATATCGAGATCCTAACGTCCTTACAGAAGAGCCTGATGCTCGTACAGGAGTTGGCGATGGAGCTACGCTGTCCCAAGGAGAAGCAGCTCCTGTAGATATACAATGGTTGCTGGTTAAGTCATATAAATAGCTTCATTATATAGAGTCTAGCCATGATACAGAACACAACCCATGGGATAATGCTTTACCAGAACGAGGTGTATGGCTTCCCAGCCATGGGGAAACCAATCGTGCATCCGGTGAGGCTCCAATAAACATAGGTGATGGTGAAGGATCATGGCGCCGCCTGCTACTATAAGAGGAACTATCCCGGCGAGGTGTATCATCCCACTCACATTTGCCATCATCCCAGCTAGATCTTCCTGCAATACTTCCAGTGACTACACAGTAAGAATAAAAATGCAAAGGTAGTTGGCTACAGCATCAAGGGACTGCAGATGTGGTACAATATGGCATAAACTTCAAGATCTTGAAAGGGCATATCAAGATATTGCACAAGTGAGGGAAAGAAATCCCCAAAAGATAGCCTATAGGATACTTTTGGGCATTATTGAAGATCTGCTATATGTCCAACCATTACCAACCATAACAAACGATGATGATGAGAACAAAGAGTTCTTGGGTTCTGTCATAATTAAGTAAATATCTAGTTTGAACTGCAAATACTCATTTAGTTATTTTTAATAATAATAAACGATTATTTAGTATCCCCTTACCCACCATGTGTATTCCTGGGGCTTTCATGTCTAGTTCTTTTTCTCCTGCTGTCATCATTGTACTCATTTCGAAAATTACGTGATGATTCCCTGTGCCGATACTCCTCACCATGATCGCTGTCTCTCCGAGTGTCTCTACTTTTTCTCCTATAAGCATCATGGTATTTGCTTTCCCTTTCGTGTTCAGAATCATACCAAGAACTTGTCCTTGATCTTCCCGTAGATGATTTTGAAACCTTAAATTAAACATTAGAAATAAGATCAAAACTGAAAAACTAAAAAGAAAATCAGGTGGTTATAGAGGAAGCTGATGCAAAGCAGATAATACTATTAATAGGTGTGCAGAAATTGTGAGATGTACTCTTAGGGGAGAAAAATTGCCATGACTAAGACAAAAACATAGGCTTTTTCTCAAGATAGGACTTAATGTTTGATTTTCCCTAAATAGGACTAATCTTACCTTTTTTACCCCTAATTCTATTTAATTAATTAATTGATCTAAATAATTGCTCCTCCCTAGTTTCCTTGTACAACTAAGGCAGTCCGTCGGTGGCGGGGCAGTCTGTGGTGGCGGCAGCACTGCGGCAGCGGATTCCGACAGCGGCGGCGAACTCCGGCAATTAATTAACCCAATTAATTGCCCCCCCCCCCTAGTTCTCTTGCACAACCAAGGCAGTCCGTTGGTGAGGGGGCAGTCTAGTGGTGGCAACAGCTCGGCAGCAGCCGTGGATTCCGGTGGCGGCAGCGGATTCCGGCTGCCACGGATTCCGGTGGCAGCGGCGGTCCAGCAGTGGCTGCAGGTGGTCTGCGGCAGGCAGCAGTCCAAGGGCAACAGTGAGGGTATTTTGGTCCAATCACACATAAAAAAGTCCTGTATAAGAATGTTTAAATTAATTGGTCCTGTTTTGGAAAAAAAACCATGTTTGCTCCTATTAAGGTAAATCTCCTCTCTTCGGGATTCATCATTCATAAAGACATTCACAATGAAAATTTTGACATGTGGTCTTGAACCTTAGGTTAAAATTTTGGGAAAAAATTATCAAAGCATTGGTGATTAATTTCCCCATCCATCCCCCCACCACAACCAAAAAAACTACACAAAGCTGACATCCCTCTACAGCACCACCATCAAAATGAAAGATTGAAAGGTAATGATAACAAATATTAGGATATAAGATTTAGACTTAGCAGATATATGTACCAAATTTTTACCACAGCTGCATTGTGTTTTTTCCATTAAGATATTGAAACTCCATTCACAACAAAACTACATCAAAACTTCACATGATACCTGATGGTGTTCATCAAGGTGAGGCCTTGAGAGTGTTTCTGTCTCTCGTCCTTCAGTAACAGCAGAACCTGAAAAGAAACACACCCACACCCACAATGAGTTAAAATCTATGATGAAGTTCAAATACTTGCATGTCAATGAAGTTCACATATTCAGAAAGAATTTGAGGGCCTAGACATAGCATTATCAAAGAGTGTAAGTGTGTAACATCTATGGAGTAACCGAGTAACTTATAAGTAGCTTCTCCAAAGCAAGGCTTTTCCCCTTAAATTGTTGTTTCTTTTAAGGGAAGACGTTTTTGTCACATCATACTCTTTTCTCCTTTTCTCAACCCAATTAGTAAGAACACAATGTCATCGCTTTTTCATTGTTTGAAATCCGTTGAAACAAAAGGTATTTGAAAAACATCATAATGAAAAACACCCAGTAAATTGTATTTTCAATTAGGTACCTGAAACAGAATGCTCACTAGAAACATTATCACGATAACGCCTACTTGTGTGACTGCACAAACCACCCGATGAACCACCTTCCAATTCTCCAGTCACAGTTGAAGTCTCTTCGTATTCATCTATAGCTGACACAACGGAAGCTGCTTTTTCTCTTGGGACTTTAAATGATTGATCAATTGTAGATCTTTCTCTTTTTGCACATGCCAGCACATCCAGCCCTGGATGCCATGTAAATCTTCAATTAGCTCTGAATACAAAATAATGGTGTGATATATAGGTACCTTCGCAATAACATTGACCCCAACAATGTAACATACTAAATAAGATGTGCATCTAAAAAAACTTCATGCTGCCAAGATTGCATGTACTAAACCTGAATTAATTGGCGCCTCGGAGGGATATGTGCATATTTGAGGACCACAAGACAAAAACTTGTAACAATAGCGAATATCAAAATTTGGTATTGTCAGGTGCAATTATTTTCCCTAACTGACAACACTGATATAAGTATGTAACCAAAGTACCAAACTGCTTCTACCATTAAAAACCCACTTTTAAATTTTCAATTGATCCTATGACATCTTTAGGCACAAGATAAAGTAAGTTCAATATTGAGTTAAACTTTTTAATATACGCTTCTGACAGAGGGAATGGGGGATAGAGGTAGTACTGGCGAAACCAAATTTTCTATTTCAAAATAAAGGGGAAGTTAGTGCATGGATGGCTCTAGCCCTCTCCCTAATATTGTCATGATACATCCCCAAATCGGTGGTCAATGGAAGATACGAAAGTGCAAAATCCTACAAAGACTAAAAAATACGCAGTACTAAATTTTCAATTACAAATACAATAAGAAAAGAGTATTAATCATCAATATAGACAATTTTACAAGTTTTCTTTGTAAATATGGGGAGAAATTCATAAATTCATAACCATTTAAAACTAGTCAGATCTAAAACAGTTTAATCCTTCTCATAATCTCTTTCATAATCTTATATTCTTCTCCTTTCCTTCAGCAACATCCTTCCCATTCAATCCAAATTCCAAAACTACATGCGCACATAAATGAATACGCTTCTTTCCTTGAGAAAATAGTTTTACAAAAATAAACAGCAAGGAGAGAACAAAAAGACATACCAAGGAGTGATTTGCGCTCCGGTTGTCTAAAAACAACTCGACCCTTCCCAGGAATACAGAGACCGCCACCACCGCCACAGTCGGGTTCTAGGGTAGTAATTGTTGCATCCATTTTAACAGGTTCAATATTCTCTCGCTCTCCTGGTTCCTGAATGCATCAAAAAGTTTAATGTTTTCTGATGTTGAAGAATAAACAAAGATATGAAGGAAAATTAATTCATTAAAACTTACCAACATGTTCCGCTGCGGCCCAACTGAACCTGAAAGAGTTGGTTTTCCGATTGAAAGTTTATGAAACAGAATCAGATTAACTCTTTTGGGGACTTGATAACCAGTAGCACTATAAGAGAGACAAACAGCAAAAGATTGATATTTAACTGAAACACGAGTCTGTGTAAATAAGTAAAATTGTATATGTGATAGGCCCACTTCTCAACTACTTGATGACAAGATTGATAAATACACACACACACACACACACACACACATATATATATATATATTTGAAAATTTGTAAAAAAACATATAGATTTTTATATGATCAATAAACCAAGCAAATGATGAGAAAAATCAACATACCAAATGATGACTCATTAAGTGAAATAAAAATTTGTAAGTTAGAACCAATTCTATATTTTTTTTATAAGAAAAACAACCCGCACAAAACTTAATAATTAAAATCATTAGAGACAAAAAAACGAACACATGAAACATAACTTCACAATATCCTCTACTATGGCACTCTAATATATGTGTATAAGGTATGCTATAGCTTCAACCTTCCCTTATTTTTATCATCTGTTAGTTTTGTCTAGGGATAAAACTCAAAAGAAAAAGGCAAACTTGAGCATGCTCCATTGGCAACATAAAAGCTTAAGAAAAGTACAATGTCTTATTACGTAAACCAATTTTATAAAAGGAACTTATTCGGAAAGAAGTACGTAGTATATAACTGGGGTGTAGCTAAGGGGGCTAACCTATGCCCCCACCCAAATTTCAATTTTAGTTAAATTATTAGGTTAAGCTTTGGCCCCTCAAAATAGTTTATTTAAACTCCTGCAGCCGTTTTAATGACTTCACCACTGTTTCTACCATAACAGTTTTAGAAACCTACTCCTACTTATCATCTTTATCATGGGGTAGCTTTGTTGCACATGTACTTAGTTTAAAATCCTCCTTTGAGATTTTTGCTTCCGGTTTTATTAAGTTTTATTAGTCAATGAAATAAAACTGCAATTACTTTAAACAATATCAGTCAAAAATTTGAACTAACTCTTAAATCTTACATTGTCAAAGTAAATATTTTAATGAATAGTTAAATACAATATTACTTAATGAATAGTTAAATGAAAGTGAAAGCGTAATGTAACAGACTCTTTAAATCCTTTTGAATGCAGTTCACCGTACACCATTGTCATGAATTGAAGATATCTCTAATTGATAACATTTTTCTATAAAAAAAATTGTATGCCATTAGAGGGTCCTTGACTTCTTTTTATATGTTTTCATCATCTCAGGTGGATAAAATGTTCTAGAGAAAGGTTTCATTTGAAGCCACAGGTTAGAAAATGAAGAGATAGCCTCCAAATGATTTATCATTGGAGCCTCTTGAGAAAGGAAATTCTGATCATAGTTCAAAAATAGTTTGTTTAAACTCCAGCATCCGTTTTTAATAACCTCGCCACTGTTTCTACCATAAAAGTTTTATAAATCTACTCCTACTCTCAAGCTCGTGTATTATACAACCCCCTGAAATTCAAGTTAAATGCGGATGCCACAATTAGACAACATAGTGGTAATGGAGTAATCAAAAGAGATCACGCAGACCAGTTTATTTCATAGCTCTGCTTTACCCTTAGAACTACATGTATACCCCAACTGTGTTAGCCCTTGAAAGATTCTCTTGGAAACACATTGAGAAGATAAAACCATAAAAATTGGCTTTAATGGAGATAAACTGGGTAATAACATGTGAACCTGTGCTGGGAAATTTCCTTCTTCGGTATTCAAATTCGGAGAAGAAAACTAATGAGCTTATGAGGTCTGAGATGAGAATCGGATGATTTTCCTGTTAATCGCAGGGATTCGCAGCAAATGGGGTTTATTGAGCTGATATTTTAGGAGATCTTGATAACGCGATTTTACGAATTGCCTTGTATTATTTATAGATTACAAACAAAAAGAAGAAACACAAATGTAAAGATTGACAAAGAAAATATTCAGATATAAACACACATCACATAAAAAGGACTGCTTGCAAGGTTAAGATTTAAGGAGTTTTTCTTTAAGCTGATGCCCAACATGGCGAACTGAATTAATTAATTACAACAAAATTCAATTTTAAAATCAAATACCTCGTTTAGAATATAGAGAACAGAGATGAATGATGAGCGACTAGTGAGATGTTGGACGTAGGACCAGAGATCGCAATAGCAGAGACGTTGCTCACTGACGGAAATCGCGGCCTCACGGAAGGAGGGTTGGAGCCTGGCTTCTCTCTGCTTTCGCAGCCTTCTGTTATAGTGTTATCCCTTCTCGAGTGCTACTCTCAGTTGGGTCTGGTCTGATAGTATGATCTGGTTTGAACTGGTCTGGTCTGATCTGGTCACGTCTGGTTCCTTTTTATTTTATAACTATCCAAGTCTGGTCTGGTCTGGTATGAACTGGTCTGGTCTGGTCTGGGACAGCTTACAGTCCAAGTAAAAACATCTTTATTAAGGAGTATTACTTATTCTTCTTATTTTATTCGAATCAGATCAGATCAGAAAAAGATTCAGATCAGATCAGATCAGAAGCATTCAGATCAGATCAGAAAGATTCAGATCAGATCAGAAAGATTCAGATTAGATCAAACTAGATCAGAAACATTTAGATTAGATCAAATCAGAAAATCCAAACATGATTTATCACTTTTATTATTATATTAATTATAATTATTACCATTATAATTATTATATTATAATTATTGTTAATAATATTAATAATAATATATTAATATTATAATAATAAGAATAATAATATAATAATGTTAATAATATAAATATTATTATTATATTATAATAATACACAATTTTAAAAATAAAATAATAATAATAATAATAATATAACAATAGTAATATTATTAATATTATTATATAATCATAATAATGTTATTATTATATTATTATGTTATTATTGTTATAATAATAATAATAATATACTTTATTATTATAATATTAATATTGTTATAATACAATACTCCCCCCATCCCGCTATGATTGTCCTATTTTACCTTTTCAAAATGACATGAATAAAGCTATTTGAAAAACCAAATCTCTAAAAAACAGCCTCAATAAATTTCCAGGACAATTTATCAAATGCCTTGGCCATATCCAGTTTAACAATGACATTTGATCCTCTAACCTTCTTCTCGAGGGAGTGAATCATTTCTTGGGCAATCAGCACATGGTATGCAATATCTTTTCCTTGCATAAAACCAATTTGCTCTGGGGAAATAATCTTAGGTAGTATCTTTGATAGCCTATATCAGTAAGAACCTTAGTACAAACTTTACTGATAAAATTAGAAAGACAGATAGTCCTAAAGTCACCAAAAGTGGAGGGTTTTCTATTTTAGGTATAAGAACCACGAGAGTGCTAGAAACCCCTTGAGGGATAGGCATAGGAAAAATTCTTGCACAGCCCTCGCAAGATCAGGCCCTATTATATGCCAGAATTTTTTGTAAAATTTCCCATTAAATCCATCAGGCCCAGGAGCACTATTTTGGTTCAGATCCCATATTGCTTTTTAATTTCATCCTCCTGTGGCAACTGCATAAGCATATACTCCCTCCGTCCCCAAAAGAAGTCCCCCATTTGACTTTCACACACTTTTATGCAAGTAAACTTACCAAGGGGTAAATTTTACTGTTTTGACACTGTTTCGACACTGTTTGACACTATTTTCCACTGTTTGACACTGTTTTGATGTAGATAACTTCCCATTTAAGGAAATGGGAACTTAAATTAGGGACATCCAAATAAGGAAAGTGAGAACTTCTTTCAGAGACGGAGGGATTAGTTATCTTCTTCATTAACCAAGCTTGGAATATATTGCAGGACCTCCTCAGCATCAATGTCGGGCTCTACTGCATACAAGTCGGAGTAAAAGGAGATGGCAGCTTCCCCTATATCCTTTTGAGAAGCACACACTTGACCCCTACCATCAATTATTTCAGTAATAAATTGCTTTCTGTGTCTAACCTTTACATACGAGTGAAAGAACTTATAATTTGCATCTCCATCTTTCAACCACTTTAGGTGTGTTTTCTGTTTCCAATACTTCCTTTCCAACTTGTATTTGGCAGTTAAGAGAGATTTCAAATGATTCCATCTTTCTTTATTTTCTTCACTTGAACTGTCACGCCTCGGACCTATCCGGACACGTCAACAACCCGCCGTACAGTACGAATAGTCAACCGCAGTCTAACACATCCATACTATACAAGGCCTTTGGAATATCATTCACACATAGTACATCCAAACAAACATAATGTAAAATATTCATTAAAGCAGCGGAAACAATATTACAAATGTTCAAGCCACACTTGGCAAACTTAGGCATACAAGCCCTCAAATAATTTATTGGAAAACATTATCCATGAGCATTATTGCAATTGTTTTGAAAACAGAACGGAGGAAGCACGAACCACGTCTTCTCTCCAAGAACTCCCGAAGCAACGGGTACAGGAAGCAAGCTCTAGCTTCTACCTGAAAACTGTGAGGTGGCCTCCCCTGTGAAGGGGAGATCAGTACTTTGAAGCATTTGAAAAGTACAATGACAACTATACTGCATATAATTAATGTTTCAATCCCTAAGACCCTCAACATAAGGTGTTATCATATTTCTAGGAAATAACCCATAGTTACCCCTTTCAAAACATACATAAGTATATAATGTCAAATAGTCGGCCCAAAGGCCCATTTGTATTTGTCAAAAACCCTTTGCATCGCCACGCGATAAATTATTTCCCCATTTGTATTTAATAATACAAATCGTATCGCCCTGCGGTAATTCAAAAATAAAATTTGTATACCCTGCGATAATTCATTACATTAATAATTCATACAATTTAACCCAAAGGTCACATCAATCATACAGAATCTGTCACCGCTATCCAAGTCCCCGCAGAGCACTCGGTCGGAGTCCAGCATCCTGCCCCTGGACTCGTACCCTGTTCCCGTAGGAAGGTAAGGCCCATTCGGGGTCCTATCTTATGTGTTACCGCTGTCAAAGCCTCGTAAGGTCTTTGATTCGGATTCCACCCTTATACGTGATCACGCTGTAAGTCCATGCTATCCAACTCGCTCTCTAGAGCCAAGCAGGGCCATGGTCCTTACATCTATTCTATTATGGGCCCATGCAGTCCGGCACGATCCTCAGACTCGTCCGACCCATGTCCCTCATCTATCTATTAGCAAGTCCATGTGGTCGGGCATCTATCCTTAGACTAGAGCCGAGCCATGACCCTTGCTACCAATCAAACAATCAATTACGGGTATCCTAAAGACCACCCGGATAATAATATCAACAATCTAATCCTAGGATAATTATACCATTTAACTCATCTAAGGTTATCCCAAATGAATACCCTAGTGACGAAGCATCACAATCCTAAACTTAGGATTGATTTATTTATGTTCATCCTATAATCCCGGGCTAGTCACTTAGTACCACCCGAGTTATTTTTAGTCCAAATTGTCTTTCCCCTTTAAACGAACATGGCGGCCATGCCATGACTCATTCTCACTTCATTCTATATTGACTTTACTAACCATAAAGTCAATACAATTAAATAGTGACTAATAAATCACATTAGTAGTTCACCACTAAACCACTCATAACAACATCTCAAATATATCAAGTAGTCACGCTCCAATTCCTCATAGTTCAATCAATCATGCATCAACTCTTCATATACAACAATATGATCAATTGACACTTTATTAGGCATAATAATTAATTAAAATCATGCTTTTATAATTTAGGTAATCTCATGAATTAACCCATTAGTTATAAACAATATAGTCAGTCATCCTCACCTTATGATGTGATCAACTAGTTGCCTTTGCTAAGCCCTTCGATCAATCCCTGTTCTAGGCCGATTGAAAGTGAAAATTCTGGACATCAGACAAAAGTCGGGCGGCTTTTGCAAAAGGTGGGCGGCTTTCGGGCCTGCAGCTCGAAAACAGTCCCCAACAATGGCGGTTTTCTGGCGGTTTCAACTCCTATCGATTCAACGACTATTCTAAGTTAAATACCACCACTTCATATCAATGTTATACACTTATAAACGTGTAGAACTCATGGTTTAATCCACCATATGATTTCTTAAAACTCATATGAATATAAAACTAGTTAATGAAGCTTTTTGGGTTCTTACCTCAATTCCTAGCCTTTTGTGTTGGGTTTTCCTTCCTCCTTGCTTTCTCCTAGCTTGAGCTTTGTGAGAAGCTTTCCCAGAGCTCCTATTGTTTGGTCGTGTGGTTGCAAGAGGATAGGGGAGAGGTATCTCCTCTCAATCAAATGGGAAATTAATTCAAGGATAGGGCCATGGGAGTGTGACTTTGTCCCTAGGTCCCTTCCTATTTCTTGTCCACCCCTTTCATTGTATTTGGCATCTATTCCACTATTTGGAGTCTACCAGACATGTAGAAAAATCCCCAAGTGGGTGTAGAAAGTCCCTGTCAATTATTCCTGCTATTTTTGGCAGGTTGGGTCAAAATAGCATTTGGGTTGCCCAAATATTTTTCTCAACTTTAGTTGGCATTTTATTGGGCTTCTATAATTATTATGATGACCCAACTAATTATTTGGTGGCCCGCTATTAGTATCATGGGCCTGATAAGTAATTTAATTAATCCTTCATTAATTAAATATACCGTTCTTGTTCACATAAACATTCGCATAGAAAATTCAAATACATATTGAATTCCAAATTCAAGTACATCCAGGTGCGGTGTCACATGAACATACTGCAAAAGATTGTTCAGCCTTAGTTACCTCCTCTTTACAAGTTTTGATGTCCTGAAATATGTTTCCAAAAGTATCCATATTCCAGGTTTTAAGAGCTGTTTCAAGACACTTTAACTTGCAAACAAAACCCTTCATTCCCCCTCCCATGCAGTTAGAGTTCCAGCTCTTTTTGATAACTTCAAAAAATGTAGGATGGCTGACCCACATGTTTTGAAATCTAAAAGCTCTAGGGCTAGAATGGTCCTTTGTAGAGCATCTGATTAAAATAGGGCAATGATCAAATGGAGTTTTTTTCATAACATCCACCTGAATTCTTTTGAAATAGTCACTCCAATGAGAATTTAGCAAATGTCTATCCAACCTTCTCCAAACCCATCCATTTGACCTCACACTTGACCAAGTATACTGAGGACCCAAATAAGAAGGCTGAATAAAGTTGCAGGCTACAATAAAATCTAAAAAATCAATGATACTACTCGATTTAGGCAAAGCTCTCACCATGTGTTCACTATGTGCTGTAATGGCATTAAAGTCCCCTCCAA